AGTGTCGACATCTTCAAGGCGGCTCGGCTTTTGAACTTCGGCTACGTCAAGCAGCACCAGTTGTCCACCACGGACATCAACCTCCTGCTGGACCCCTTTCCGCTCATCACGGAAGAGGTCATCACGAAGCTAGTGGGAGAAAAGGACGAGTACCACCTCGCCGCGTCCGACGTTGATACCGACTACGACTTGTGGAGTTTCTGGCGTGACAATAAGACTAGGCTTCCTCACTGGTACAACGTTGCCAAGGATATCGCGTTGATTCAGCCATCCTCTGCCTTCATGGAGCGAGTATTTTCTATTCTGCGTGCGTGTGTGGACCAGAGGCAGGAGTCGAGCTTCAGCGATCGCATTGCCACAGCTGCCCTTCTCAAGTACAATAGGGGGCGCGGAGAGTAGTAGTACGGGAGTACGCGAGTACGCTGTTTTGCCTGTGGTGTGTGTGGTGTCTTGGATATGAGTCCGATATATCGTATTCGAGGCGCTTTCTTATTTGCTGCTGATAGTTTTCTGTTTCGTTTAGTACTGCATTATCAGGTGAATTCTACGGAAGTCACAAGTGTCTGTGGGTATTTTTGTTCCTGTTGGAATTGAACGTGTGGCATGGCTTTGGTTTGAATTTTTTTCTTGACGTTTGTGCGGTTTGTTGCAGAAAACAGGGCAACCCTGCTGTTTGGTTCAGTGCCCATTACGTGGTATGCCAGCGGTGTTCCATTTTACAGCAATAGCCTAGTAGCCCGCGCTGCTATGGCTGTTGATTGTTTTTATTGAAATTTATTGCTATTTTTCGTTGCATCGACAATCATGGGGGGGGGATGGAATGTGTCCATGATTCTAGAGGCACTGACAGCAATTGGTTTGGTGTTCTGATCGATTTGACACTGCTACAGCCGGGGCTGTTGGAGGCGCATTTATATTGCTTGAAGAATTTTACCGCGATTGATTCCAGAAAAAATATATATATACTCTGTCTGCCGAATGGCGATCACGGATGACCAAGGGTGAAGCGCATGCGGGAAAGTAGTTCCCTCTTTACCCTTATTAGAACGAACGAGTGCAGAGTAGTAGTAGTCGGATGCGTCGAAAACACATTTCTTGAAAGACTAGAGTCCAAGATAATTTGCGCTGTGTGATACAGCAACACAATTATCCATACATTTCGACGGTGGGAGACGGCATAATAGACAAAGCGTGTCGACGAAGCCAACCGCGCGCGCATATGTCGAGCATTAATGGCCAAAACAAGCCTTGCCCGAGCACGAGGGACGAAGACAAGCGTGCACACGTACAAGCACACGCGAGGAAAATGAGCATAACCAGCGTGCATAAGTCGCCTTTTGAGCTTACGCACGTGCCGAAAAACGTGCGTAAAAATGTCAAGAAATAAGCATAACAGGTCAGGGCCTACGACGACCCCGATTCTTACGGTAATCGAATGATCCAGGGTCTTTCCCTCTACGAAGCACATACGTTACCGCAGAGTACCGATACCACGCAGACAGCAGTCGGTAAAGTCGAAAACATGTACAGCACAAAACATCAAGTTACATTTTGCTCTCTCTCTTTCTCTCTCGTCTCACGTGCACCCCGTTCCATCTGCAAGTGGGCGAATGTCGGTTATCTCTTCGAAGGGGATAGCGAGGTCCACTTCCCATGGCCCACCGTCATCTTGCTGTTGTTGGTCAACAGTGGAAGCCTGTTTCCCGGCTTGCCCACTACCTCTAGCTGGAGAAGAAGTAGCCGTGCCCATGATGACCGTAGTCTAGGCAGTTGTTTAGCTTTCGAGCTTGCCACACCTTGAGAGCAAAAGGCGTTCGGCACGGGGACGATAACACACGACAAGAAGGACGGGGTTTTCCTTTTTCTGGTCGACCTCGACACAGGTTAGTTTACAGTTTACACTACGCCTGTAACAAGAGCTTGGGCGGAGGTTCTACACTCGCCACGTCACGTGCCTAGGTGTTTCTTGGTCCGCTAGAACCAGCAGTGGCAGCGTCACTGAATCTGCGGTAGGTACAACGCTTCGCCGTCTTCTCCGTGGCGACCACGTTACTTTACAACTTCAGCAGTGCCTTTTCCCAGAAGGGAATAATTCGGGTGTAGACTAATGTATTTTCCGACTATTAGAGGTGCATCACTACCCCGTGGATTCGAGTGGTAGCCCGACAGCAGTGGGAAGGCTTCCTGGGCAATGCCCAAGGACCATTATTTGGTGCTGTGCGGCCAGACAGAGTTGCAGCACTGCTATTACTGCTGTCATGATAAACATAAAAGTTCCGCAATGTGACGCAACAACGGCACTACGGAGATCGTACGAGAGTATCCATGGGAGCCAAAGAGGGCCGAAAGAGTCATTCTAAAAAAAAGTGCAAAAAAAAATACTTCCTGTCTCTCTCTGCTCCTCCACGAAATTGTCCCGGTGTGCTCTCCCCCCGGACCCGACACACATGAAAGAGCTCATACTCACCTTGAGTGCTCGTGCAAACAAGGTCGTCCTTCTCAGCTCCTGGTTTCCCGGTGTGCCCTTGATTCCCGCTCTCTCGGCTGTCTTCTCCGTTCGCTGTTGTGACGTTCATTCACGGTGCCCCCGTTATTTGATGCTGTGCGGCCAGACAGAGCAGAGTTGCAGCACTGCTACTACTACTGCTGTAATGGTGAACACAAAAGTTCTGCAATGTGACGCAACTTTTTGGCCATGGCCGCATTTACTCACCGTGCTCGAATGTCCCGCTTCAATGGATCGCACGTTGAGGACTCATTCGCTTGGCCTTCTGTTGTCTACAGCAAGTGTGCTCGGTGTTTTCGAGACCGATCCAATCGTTGCCATCAGCGGTCATCGGCTGCTTGGCCTGAAGCAGTTCCGGGCCGCCAAGGAGGAGCATCAACTTGAGAACTTGAGGCTGGCGGCCCGAACCTGGTTCTAACATCTCTTCGGCAAAACTATTGAGCCGCATCTCTCGAGAGCATGGGCTTGCGTGTAGTGTAGCTGTGAGCCCCACTGCGCCTGCGCTCAGCACACACACCTCACGGTTACCTACTGGTCATCCGCATTCTCTGAGGTTCGCAGTGGGTATGAGCATTGTGTCTACCGTTTTTGCCATAGGTTGTAAATAGCGGGAGGGGCATCATCATCCAAGCAGCAGAGCACCTCCGGCGGTGTTGCACATGGCCGAGGGACTGGTCACTCAACCCCGCGCGGCGGCAATCAAGGGATGGTCGGTAGGTCGCATTGTTCACTACAGTATCCTGTGCATCTGTGTGGATTCGATGCACCGCAGGTGGATAGCTGACATCCTAATGACAGGAACGCACGCGCATGTTCAACGGAGCAGGAGGTACAATAGTCACGATCAACCTCTGTGTGGTTCCCGACCCAGTTAACCCTTTTGAGTCTCCAGGGGTTCTGACTGATCATTGATTGATCATTTGCAAATGCTGATGTAGTGGCACGTTGTGGAGTTGCCCCCCTGCCGCTCTTCGCGCCGGGTACTGGCAAGTCCATAGGTGGTGTGTCTAGATTTTTAGCACCCGCGCTATCCGGCTGACCAATGAAGAGACGTCAGCGACAGCGGGTAAAATCAGGGTCTCGGGAATGGGGCCAATCAAAGCCAAATAAATCACGAATCTCTCAACGTTTGTACATGTGCGTGTACATACATAAATACATACGTATACATATGCGTTCTTTCATAGCACCACACATATCCATCCTCGCCCGAACGTAAAAGACCACTGCTGCAAAGAGCAGAGGGCAGCAATAGGGAGAGGTTTTGCAAGCCCTGCGGGAGCCCAGATGTCGAGGATAAATTATCGTGTGGTTGCTACAGCTCCCAACAATTTGAAAATCGTTCCCAATATCCAGCAGTCATCGTGTCAGCAGCTACAACGCTACAACACTATTACTACAGTAGTGCTGTAGAGGAGTAAAACAAATCAGCAACACATCCACGCTCGTAGCACAACACATACCCTCGCCTGAACCTAAGAAACCACGAGGTACAGGTGCGTGCTGATGGGTGTGCTTGTTTGAAAAACGCAGGAGCTCTAGAGAGCTCGCAGGGCACATTTCGGGGGGGGACAGAGAACAGAGAAGTACAGAAGTACAAATACCAACTATGGGTTTTCACTGATCATTTCTCCCTCTCTGGATTGATCATTTACAATATTCCGAAAATAGACTAGTTGAGGCAGCTAGACGACTGATCATTCCAAAGTTTACACAGCTAACCTGCCCTACTGACCGCAGCGCGACCACCCATCAACCCTTCTACGACCCTGTCTGTGGCCACCACCCTGCCGCCGGCTTCCCTCATGACCTACAGTTGGAGATAGCTGTTGCGTGTGCAGAAGTACACTGGTGTCTTTCTCTGCACTTCTCTCTCTCCCGCTCGCTCTCGCTCTCATTTTTTTTTATGGTGCAAAAAAATAATCTAACAGTCCAGCCTAGACCCTAAGGGGTTATGGAAAAATAAATACACGCACAGAACGACAACCCATTCGAGGTATACCCACAGCAGTCGAACGGTGGTTGAGTCTTTTCAGTGAGTCGAGGAAAACCGGCTGGGTACTGGATTTATGCAGAGTCTGTTTAAGACTAACACTGATGATTTATGTCAGTGATGCCAGCTGATACTAAGGACAAAAACATCTGTACAGTATAGGTAACCCCCTGCAGTTCTCTACTGGGTCAACGACAACATATCGGGGAGAATCCCTCCGTTGTGTCGTGTGTTGTAAAATGTACCCTTCACAGGGGACACGGCGCAGTGTCTATTGACAGCTTGCTGGTTTGTTAGGTTCTAGGAATAATATTGTTGTAAAAATCATGGAAGATGGAACGAAGGCTACATACAGCAGTTTTTCAAATCTACAGATTTTTGAACTTGCAGATTTTGTAATTTGACGGGCAGCAGCTGTTTCCCGCCGTTTTTTCCAAAGCGTATTTGGTCCTTTGGGGTAACGTATCAGTGATGCTTAGACGAAAATGGTACACCTGGTGCATGGTAGGTAGGGCATAGCATTCAGTTTGTATCATGTAAGCTTGTTGCTTGTTATGTTTGGTGTTGGTAAACAACATCAGTAGAGCACGGAAAGTTTTCAAATGATATACATCCAATGTGGTACGGTTGTTGTCGATTTCCCTGGTGTTCCTCAGAGCGGTTCGGAGAATTCCCGCCTTGACTATGTTGAGGTTCACTTAGAGTGTAGGTGTCTGTGCACAACCTTGAACGAGACACAAGGAGAACATGGATAGCGGTTTAGTGCGTACATCAGAGGAATGAGTATTTGTAAAACTGCCGAACCTTACTAGTTGTACTTATATGGACTTCAAAAACTTCGTACAATGTACAATCATACGAAAAGTAGCATACTTTTGTATTGATTCCGTGATTGTTCGGGCCTCGTCACCAGGTATCGACTAACCAGCCGGTTGAGAAAGCGGCGGTCGTCGGACGAGCCGCGCCGCTCCTGGTGCACCAAACGCTGGCCAACAGAGAGCAGGTGCTGGTGTGCGCGTGTTGTCACCGCTTTGTGGGCACTCCGGCGACCCAGCTCGCCATGCTCGAAGGTCTCTCGCGCACCGATACTACCACCGCTTCAACAAGCACCACCAAGTCAAAAAAACGGCGTCGGAGCAGCGACTCGACGACGGCAAACACAGCACCGTCTCGACGAAGCGCTGTCGCTAGCACACCCCCCTCTCACCTTCCAGACCTCCCGACCTTCCAGACAACCCAAAAGGGGCAGGAGGAGGGTGAAGAGCAGGGGCGAGGAGAGATTTGGAGGTGCACGGGCGGCGCGCCTTGCGACGACGTGTACTGCTCTTCCGGGTGCCAGGAGGCGGCGCTGGCCGCTGGACACGGTCTGATTTGCATCGGCGGCAGCGGGGAGGGTAGGCGAGTCGTCGGTTCGGTGACAAAGAGCATCCGTGTAGCCCCAGCGCCTCCTCGTCGTGTCGAACCACCTTGTCCTTCCCCCCTACCACCCTCACAGCTTCCCCAATGCTTTGGTTTATCGTCAAGTGAGTCCCAATTCGACCTAACCGAACCCGACCCGTCCATGACCTTTGTATAACCTCACGCACACAGCCCGCTCTTCGAGTTCCACCGATACGCCGTTCGTACGAGTGAGACGTACCTCATCGCTGCTGCTGCTGTGGCGTCGGTGCTTTCCACATCTTTCTCCTCTACCGAGGGACTTCGTGAAGACTCGGATGACGGCATCCGGTCTTTTGAAGCCCTGGAAGGCTGGGCCGAGCCCTACATGCCTCCACTGCGGGGTGATGACGACGACGACGAGGAAATTGTTGATGAGGGCGGAGGGCGCCGCACGACGAAAGGAACCACAGGAGAAGTGGGGGGAGGGGGAAGGGGAGGAGGAAAGGGTGGCACTATAGGATTCGCGGCCGTGAAAGATATTGGCGTTTCAGTGGAAGAGGTGCGACGCCAAAAGATAACCTGCTGTTGTCGCTGGAGTTTCTGGAGATCCTATTGCCGCTGTAGTTGTGAGCTCTTTTGGACGCGTCTACTCACAAGCTGCCTTGGTACAACCTAGGAAGTCGGATTGTCAATCGATAGCGATGCCATCGCTGAAAACCCCACCGTCCTCCCAAACAGGCGGAAGAGGCGTGGTCCTTGCTTACAGCGGGGCTGGTACACGGTCGCGGCGTTCTTGGCTCCTCGCACCGCGCGGCGACGGCAACACCAACTGCAAGAGACGGGGGGGTGGGCGGGCGCAGCAGCGTTGAACGCGCTCTGTCGTTGGATTTCTTTCTCCGGGTGGTGAGAGCCCTCGGGAGACACCTCATGCCGATATCGGTCTCCTCTCCACTGGTCAGGTGCAGTATGTGTCACACGAAAGAGAGGGCAGAGGTAACACACATGTGTCGGGTCAAGGTCAAGGAGGCAGAGGGCCGGGGGCGGAAGAGAGGGGGTCCTGCGAGTACATCAATTTCACCGTGCCGTAGGGGCCCGCGGGTCATCGGGTCGGGGCCGTTGCCCGTAGTTCATTACGTACCGTTTGAACTTGTTTGGGTTTTGGTTCTGGTAAGCTCCTCCTGGGACCAAGTCAGTATCGCCAAGGCTGCATCTTTCCTCCTTCCTGTCATGTCCGCGCTTTTGTGTACCGCCGTCGCGACTATCTGTAGCTGCTTCAGAAGCAAAATCGTCTCCACTGTTCACGCTGTTATTCTCATCGTCGTTGAATCATCTTCCGCGCAGCTATTGCGCGCGCTTGGTGCAAGCCAGCCCTGAGAGAAAGGCGCGCGCCTTGCCCTGGCTAGCGCCGGCGGTGGAAAGGGCTGGTCCATTTGCAGGCGCCGATGGGGCAGACGAAGCTGGCATCGACAAACCCTGCCAACCAAGCTCCACAGCAGAAGGCCGCGCAACAGCAACAGCAGAGCTCCGAAAACGTGGCAGGGAGGTTAACGGCATTAGGCAAAAGGACGAAGAAGACGACGCAGTCATCGTGGGCGAGAGAGGGCTGTGTAGGCTCGTCCAGGCATCGGCAGCGGCGGCCGCGGGCACGGCGGTTAGGTGAGCGAGTGACTTCCATAGTGCGGTCGCATTTCTCTCGTGTGTACATACATGCATGGAACAAGGTGATGTTGCATCTTGGTCAATAATCGTCGTCCTTGTTGCTCTTGTTGCTAGACTCTCGGAAATATTCATCTACGATGCCTGACCCGCGCCTGATACCTCGCGTTTTTCTCTGCCAACTTTTTTTCGGATGCTCTCTTGTTCTTTCCCCGCTGCCCCAGCCCTTTCCCGCCTCTCTCGGTCGTCGGACTACTCCCTACTCATTGTAGTCCCCAGCACAGCTGCGTGCCTAACGTGCAACTAGAGGCTTCCCTGCTTCCGGCGACGAAGTCAGCCGATGAAAAAGGTGAGTGAGGGGGTGGGCGCAGCGCGGTGAACGGGGGCATCCGCAGACTGGTCGTGTGTGCTCACCAAATGCAAGGGTGTGAACGAGAAATGTCGGTGCGTTAGCCAGTAATATACGAATGACAAAGTTCTCTGTACACGCATACAAGCCGCGGATGTTACGTGCTCCGGTGCACACAACAGATCTTACGCCCAGCATGCCTATCATCGTTTTGTCCGTGTGTCTGTACTCATTTCCCGATCACGCATGAACCAAAGTCCCACCCATAACCCATTCCCCTTACCCGTCAAGCTCACCCCCTTACAACGAATTGTTTTCGAACAACCATAGAAATATGTTGTTTGAAAAGCGCCAGGCGCTTTACGCATCACCTCGCCTTTCGCACGCCATGAGCTCCCGCACAGACATCTATTGCACGGGGGTGGATGTGTTCTTTCTAGGGAGGTGTGCCGTCTTCAATTTTCATGGCGGAGTCGGCGATGGCGATGTTACAGAGGCGCTGCGAGGCCACCAAGAGCACTTTGGGCGCTTCGACATAGGCCCTTCTCCCCTCGCATACAATGTGTCTGCTGCGTGCAACCACAACCGGCAGACGGTGTGCATGAAGCAGAGAACCAAGTGTCGTCGTCGACGGTTCTCCGCGTCGGGTTGGTAGCTCTCCGGCGGGTACAAGCAGGGGAAGAGCTGTTCGCTCCGTACATCGCCCTCGGCCAGCCCATGCAAGCACGCCAACGAGAGCTGTCCTCGAGGTTCTTTGCTGGTCGTTCTACTAGCGGTGGCTTGGCTGCGGCTTCCGCTACTGGTGCTGTTGCCTCTGTTTCCGCGGCGACTGTGGCGGCGGAGGTGGCAGACATAGCGCCGACCGGGTCTTGTTCCTTGCCGGGGTTGTCTTCGCTACAGCGGCAGCCGCCGCAGCTAGTGTGTAACTGCCCGCGTTGCCTTCTTGAGGCCGGGGGTGATCATCGCTTGTGTGGGCGGGAAACGCTCAAGGTTTGTACATCTTTGGTGCTCAACCTCAGGTCACGGTACGGGCACGATGGGCACGAGGCGGTGCTGGGATCGCGTTGTGCAGGACCGAGCTAGCTTAGTGTGCCCTTCTCGCATAAAAATGGTAAAGATCAAAGGAGGTTGCTTTAGATAGGGTCAGGCCCGAAGCCGGGGTGTCTGCCTTTAGCTTCTTCGGCGTCCCCCATCGGTACCTTCAGTCCCGGCCTATTGAACGTGCACGCCTCTCTTCCTAGCCATCCGTCCTGCTTCTTCAGCTGTACCATAGCTAGTTCTTCTCTCCTCATTTGTTCTCATCTACCATGCATGCTCCCTCGTTGTCGTGCCAGGTCCTTGCGGACCAAGCTCTCGAGGAGGGACGACACGAGGCCGCGCTTGGGCTGTACCGAGCGTCGCTCGCCGCTCCGCCCCCATCCCCCTCTCTTGCTTCCAAGGCCTCCTCGTGCACCCCGGCCCCTGTCGCGGCCGCCACTCGAGCCCCTTCTGGAGCGAACAACAGCGGTACTACTCGCCGAGAGGGAGGACATTTGACAGCCTGCGATCCATCGTCCTCGATAGCAGCGGCCGCGGCCGCGGCGGCAGCAGCACCTGGAAACGGTGAAGGAGAAGGGGGAAACGACACCTCCGCGGCACGGATGGCTGCAGTCGCGAAAGACGAATCTGGCGGATCGGAACCAGCAGCGGCAGAACCAGCCGAACAGCCAGAGCAAGAAGTGGCGGCAGCCGTGTTGAAGGGTGACGCCCTCCACGGTATAGGGGTGGCACTCTTGGCGGCTGGGAATTTCAGGGAAGCGTGTCGAGCGTGGGAAAGGTGCGTTGCCGGCCTCGTTGCGACAATGACGTCAATCGGCAGTCCCACATCAAAGATGAAGTGGACTGAGTAAGTTAGGCCTAACTAGGGTGTGCATGTGCACACGATTCACTGTGGGATAGGCGTATAAATGTCGATCGGAAAGCAACGCGTGTGAAGAACGAAGACACCGTTCGGGGAGCCTCGGCGGTGATTGTCATGGTTTTTCACATCCTGCGGATGCGTGGGAGGACCGGTATTGGAGGTGGGATGGGGGTGCTGGCGGGGGGGCGGATTGTGACAAATATATTGTTTCGCAATTTCACAACTGCGATATACAAGTCCTGTTAAGTGTGTCAACATTGGACGTGTTGCTTCCGTAAACGAAAAAAGGGGTTTCCGCGACGCGCCAAATCACCCGGCGCTTCGGGCGCAAGCGGAAAAGGAGGCAGCTTACCGCCCAAAAGCCGAGAATGGCGCCAACGCTGGGGAATGCGGAGGGGCGGAGGGCCCATCGCCGGAGAAGCAGGGGAAGAGGATAATTAGCGCTTCTCCCGCGCAAGGTTTATACGGCGATACCAGCGACGACGACACCCATCTATGCTTTACGGTAAGAATGGAGGAACATTCCCCTCACTTTTGATCAACGTCCCTAAAGTCATAAAACCTGTTCAAACCACCGGCAGGTGGGACTCGACGTTCGATGGAGAAAGACAGTAGAACGCAGCACGCGGAACCTATTGTTCAGGACCGCTTTGAGTTTCCTTCCCCTGATTCGTGGTTCTTGTCATGATTGTAGATCGCGCGCGCAGTTGGTTGTCGCCATCCATGCGAAAGCATCCTGTTCGGCCTACTATTATTATGGTGTCGTTGCGCTGCTCCGCTACTCCCGATCCAATCGGTCACCCGACTAATATGATATCTCTCTGAACAAGCCGTTGCTCTGCTCTAGTGAGCCGCTCCCCCGCCGCTATGTCCCCTCCTATCCCGGCGTTGGTGACACACTGCGCCCCCCACCCCCCTACTTCAACTCAAGCGCGTCTTCCTATAATTTGTGCTAATCGGTGCCGACTCGGATTGACGGAAACGGCAAAGGAAACAAAACAATATCCTCAGTATCGAATTAGATCACATCGTAGTGAAATAAGTAACACGCTTACTTAATCGAATCGGAACGTTTTTCTGCCGCACCCATTCTTTGCATCACAGTCGGTGCCGGGAAGGGCTGCTGACATCTTCCTCAGCCGAGAGCGGGTACTGTCGCCGGAGGAATGTCGTGGTGTCATCCAAGCGGCCGAGGACTATTCACAGGTATGCATGATAGACAAGATTTAGACCTCTTTTTCTTGTAAGAGAGGGAAGAAGCGAGGGAGGCAGAGAGTGAGAAGTATTTCAACAACAACAACGTTCGTTGACCTCCCCAGAACAAATTTCCCGCCTCCCCAACAGGAATGTGCTTCTCAACTGACTTGCGGTTGCCGTTTTCACGTGGTATCGTTTTCAAGTGTATACCTCGCCACTTTGTCATCGGCGAACAACAGCAGTTACACACAACGTGCACGCCAACCCAACCCGCACGTCGAACAACCAGGGAAACGGGGGCTGGACCACGTCTCGGCACTACGCCGTACCCACGACCGACCTACCGGTGCACGTCCTGAAGTCCACGCTGCCGTGGTTTCGCTCCCTCGTCAGGTACGTGGAGTCAGCGGGCCCGTTCGCGCGTCGCCAGTGGGTGCAGTGCGCACGATAGCCGGCAGCGCGTGTGTGTGTCTTTGAGAGGCGTCGACCGCGCTACCTGCTGACCATTGAGAAGACATGAGTCTTATTCCGCGCTAACAAGCTTTTCATCGTCGTATGTGCGGGCCGGCCGTGCTGTCGCTGTCTTCGCGTGACGTGGTCGCCATCTCCACTGTATATGTTGCTGTTGCTGTGTTTTTGTGGAGGTATACATTGTACAACGGTTTGCGTGCGGTGCAAAGTTCCTCGAGGGTGCGGAGTGGACCCTGTTTTTTTGGTTGTTTTCGTGTCTCACTTCTATGCCGCCGGAGCAGAGAGGGAGCCCTGGAGGAGAGGAGAAACACGTTGCGGAAGGTAGTGGACCGTCTTTACCTAGCGAGTACAAACACATGTTCCTAGCCGTATCACCCCGGAATCGCACATTACAGTCTCTCTTCACGAACTCCCCAGGCCCGTCATCGCAACCCCTACTGCAAAAACGACATACTTACTTTTCTTTAGTCTGAACTCTGCAGTCGTGCATGATTGTGTGTACCCCCCTCCGCGCCCCTTCTGCTGTCTGTTCCGGTGCACCCCCCCCTGGTACCAATCCATTGGATGGGGTGTCGAAGGAAGCGTTTATTTCCGGCCCTGGCAAAGCGGTTCAACCTGGCCGCTGGCCCTCAAAGAGTTTTCGTTCACGACGCATTCGTCGTGCGTTACGAGGAAGGGAAGCAGCGCCACCTTCCCCTCCACCGCGACCAGTCCACTCACTCCTTCACGGTGCGTGCACAACGCCAAGGCTATCCTTATTTGGTTTGTGTCGGTGAAGGTGCTTAGTTTGTGTTGGTTAAGTGATGGGCTTATTTGCGCGATTCGTGATTGCCAAGCCTCCCGACGTCGTTCTCGCCGTCCTCGTCATGTACTGAGACAAGTTACAACGGAGCACCCCTCTTTCTTCTCCGTCCCCCGATATGTTTCCTACTGAGACCAGATAGCCCTCAACGGCCTGGACCAGTACACGGGTGGGGGTACCTTCTTTCCGTCCCTTGGTCGGTCCCTCCGCCCCGCCGAGGGCCACGCCTTGTCGTTTCGAGGAGGCATTCTTCACGGCGGGGACCCTCTCCTCAAGGGCGTGCGCTACATAATCGCCTGCTTTTGTTACTACGACGACGGTGGTGACAGTGACGAAGAAGTAGCTCGTGAGGGAGGAGAGCTAGGTTCCGCAGACTCAAGGCCAGAAGCAAAGGGTCGAAAAAACTGCAAGAATATTGAGGGGAAAACGCTCGGAGGCAGCAACAGCGCAGTCGAGAGTAGCAGCGCTGGAAGCGGCAGCACTAGTCCCGCCGAGAGAAGCGGTGGCGAGAACGGTAGGGCCGGCGGGGGTGGCGCCACAAGAGAGGGGAAAGGGGCCTCCGTCACATTCCGTAGCGACAAAGCGTTCTCCTTTGGTTTTAGCTTTGGATGAAGCGACCCCGGGGGCACTGTCGGAGTACCCTCGCATGGAGTGGCGGTAGAAAGATCTAGCACGAGCTGCGATATTTTTTGACAAGACATGAAAACCACACTACCTGCGTTCATCGGATGGCGATATTTCTCCAGAAGGGATCTGCGTGAGTTGAAGGTCGGTTTGATGGCACTGGTCCTGTCTCGCCACCCCCTCCTCGAGGTGTAGACAGCTAGGTGCGGCGAGAAAACAATCTGTTGTTCCACGTACAACACAATATCATGCGCTGGCGAGAGATATTGTTGGCGGCCGATGTACAATTTTTGCCAACTACTCTACGCATGCTGCTGAGCATGTACTAGTCCTGGTCTAACTCCGACCGAAAGAAAACAATGCGGCATCGACTATGCTGTGCGTCCGACTTGGTGCCTGCGTGCCAACGGGGGTACAAATTCAAGGAACTCGGGGGACCCTGCAGTTCGTAGTGTTCCGTGCCGGAACTGGATTCATCTGATTGGTTCCCGAATATTGTTACGATCGACCCTCGCCAAAAAGCCTCGCCGCCGCCTCGGGCGGGACAATCTCCTCCAGCCCAACTTTTCGGAACCGCAACTGCGGTAGCGACTGTCCGCGTTCGGACGCGTGTGCATCCGAGATCACTCCGGCCTCCTGGCCCGAGGGGGAGCACGCGGACGGAGGTCCCCTCGCCACGCACGCGGCGTAGCCGTCCGGCAGGGAGAACACCTTGAACGACCAGTCCGGTCGCAGCACGTTGTCGACCTTATTCGTCATGAAGGTGGTCGGAACGGTGGTGCGGGGGGATGAGTTCAAGCGCTGGTGTTGTGAGCGCACGCTTAGAAAATTAACTTCAGTCTCATCCTCGAAACTTATTTGTTGACAGTCAGTGTACCCATGTCATTCCGACACCCGTCCATTGCCCGACCGGGTCTAAAAGCCGATCTCGACCTACGGCCCGTGTCTCGCGACACCTGGAGTATGCCTTCGTAGGGCATCGCAAATCATGACCCCTCGCCAAGTTTCATCAACTTTCGCGCGCAGCAGCAGGAAAGAGCCGAATCTCTTGGTTCTGCCCATCCGGAGAGGGCGTGATGCGTGCAACAGCTCAGGGTCCCGTGCGCAGCAACAACAGTATTGAACGATTGTTTATTCATGGTTTTAACGAGCGGGTGTCTTTGGTCTCGGCGCCGCAATCGTGCAAATACACAGAATCGCAGCAGCAGCAGCAGCAGAAGCAGCAGCAGCAGCAGCAGCAGCAGCATCAGTAGAAGCTTGCCCGCATCTCAAAAGGAACGAGGGGTCTCGCTTGCCGAAGCATCTGGTGCTATATTTTCGCTGCCGTGGGGGCGCTACATGTACGCAACCTGCTATTTTTGCGTACTGTACAAGTAGTTGTAGCCTTATTCCTTTTCTTTCAATGATTGCTCGCGGGAGAGGGTTTTTCTGGTAATAGCCGGAGGGTCTTCTATTGGTCTAAAATAACTGGTTGGTTGTTGTCTCCTGCATATGCCGTTATTGTCCTCACGCGCCGCCGCTGCTGCCGCTGCTACTGCGGTACGTGTGTGACTACTCTAAATCCTAGCTGGGTCAAGGCTGTGTCCAATGTTTTGTATTCATTTCAAAGTTTAGTATATTCAAGGGTCGGCTGAGCGAGTTTCCAACGCGACCTAGCAGCACCAATAAGCCATGATATGACGCAAGCGCATACATGTACGGTGCGCCAAGGTCCAGGCATGCTGCATACACCAGTGTGCGACCATGCGTGCTGTTTTTCTCCTCTGCACCGGCTCGCCGTTTGCCTTCATCGCTCTTTCTGCCCTCTCGAACAATTTCGGAAGAAATGGAATCTCAGGGTCCGCTCGGCAGTTCTCACCAGCAGCAGATAGATTTTTCTGTGCACATCATGCACATCGAACTTCATGCACACACGCGTACACGTAGTGTTGGATGTCGATTCAACAAATCGATTCGATAAGATATCGGGAAGCCAAGCGCTCACAATGAGAGACAACCAAGACTGGCGATTAAGCTGCAGCCTTTATCTATACCGCTGCTTCGGTTCTCGCTATTCGCTAAATAGCACGCCACCTCCTTCACGGCGTTCCCAAATTCAAAAACACGACCAACCAAGAAACATTAGGAAAATGATGCAGCTACGGGGGTTCCGTGGCAATATCGACTTATCGATATTGACATCGAAATATATCGAAATATCGAGAAGGCCAAAGTTCTTCGATATGATATCCAACACTCGTGTTATTCAGAGATCGGACGAGATTCGCATGCCGTGTGTGCGGGCATGCTAGCTGTTTCTCTCCTCCACGCCGGCTCGCCGTCTTTCTTGTCTCCTCTCCGAGAAATGTTTCCCTCGGAGAAATAAACTCCCTACGGTCGGTGTCCGACCCTGATGGTGGCGATCCGTACAGTAAGTCCCGTGCTGTCAAACGCGATCGCCTGCTGTTTGTCTTGCAGAACCTTGTGATAGTCCGGACGAAGCACAAGAACGCCTGGCATACAACATGGTTCTAGAACACAAGCAGCAGGCTGTTTCGTTTGATTTAACCCGAACGGCGACTTGTGCAAAGATCGACACCAAAAGGGTCGGACGTCGCATCATCCACCACAAGGAGTAGAATGTCACGGTCCGCTGGCAGCAAGAGCCGCATCAGCCGTCGAATGGTGTGATCGATTCATGCACATCTAACTTCATGCACACACGCACGCGGGTACTTCATCCAGAGATCGACGAGACTCACGTTCCGCTAGGCACAGGTAGTGGGCCGGTGAGCTGCGACTTGCAGCGAAGTTTGAAGCGTGGGGCACTGAGTATGTTGCAACGCGTATGTACATTTACGATTTTCGTCCGGTCCTGGTGTGCGGGGATGCGCGGATATACTCATTGCGGTCCACTTTGTGGTGGAGATGTGTGGAGATAATGTTTGCGGTATTTTTTCGGAGGCAAGGTGCGGATATGATTTTCATTGATGTCTGTCAGGTTTGCGGGCTTTTTTCAGTAAAAATGAGCCAAAATAATATTTTTGCGCTGTCTCACCTTACTGAATGTCAGCTCTTCTTGTTGCTTGCTAAGAATGTAACAACACACAAAGCACTCATGCGGCATTAACCCAACAGCTCGGTGCGCCCAGCGTAGGGGGGTCTCGCCCTCCCGGAACTTCCTGACATTGATGTTGTGTGCACCCTTTAGGATAACTTTCTTTCAGCACGATTTCTGTTTTTCGCCATGTACTTTTTTGGTACTTGGCCAGCGGCAACAGAAGGTGTCCGCGTCAATTAACCGGTGCGGATATTAGAAGGTACTGAGCAGAGACCGGAACGGACCGGAAGAAAAACAACAACAACAAGGAAGGGTGACCGGTGAATTCCTCTAGAGCCAACAAATGTCCAGCTTCTTTCCGTCCGCACCTGTGCCATGTGCATGTCTGTTTCTCAATATCTGCCGTTGGGTGGTGGTGTTTCAATAGGAATGCTGTCACCCTACACGCATTTAAGCCGAACATAATTTCAGGAAGATATTTCCAGCCTGCAGTAATCGCTAAAAAAAAGCAGCTTCAGACGGGCATCAACCATACGCGTCGCGTTGTAATATCACGGATGAATCGGAAGACAGAGCGAAAAAAGAAGAAGGAGCGCGGGCAACAATCACCAACAACCAGCAGCAGCAGCAGCAGCAGCAGCAGCCTGCTGCTGCTGCTGCTGCTGAGGAAGCACAGTTGGCGTCAACAACATGAAAGAAAAAGAGCTCACCTTAACCGTAACAGCACCCATTCCGCAAGCACACCCCAAGCGGTCCTCCTGTCCCCAGAAGCCGCCTCGCCGACCTTCTGCTGCACCTGCATCTGCACCAGTCGAAGCACGACCTTCCGATGCAACGACGTCACCGTTGTTTCTCCTGTTCGCCCGCACTTTCTCCGCCTCGATGCCCTTGCCCTCCGCGTTATTCACCTTACTATCACCTCCGCAGGACCGATCTACACCGCCAACACCGCCGCTCTCGCCGCCACGGCCGCCGCCGCGGCCGCAGTCACTGCCGCTGTCCGCATCAGTACCGTTATCGGTGCCGTCCACGGTACCACAACCGCCTACCTGTTGTCCGCCAGGGGTAGCAGGGTCAAGGGCAGCGAGAGATCGTGGGCAAGGACACCTTCGCGGCCATCGCTGCTTCTCCTGCAGGCAAAACCAGCAGTCGACCCAGTCGCCCGGCAGGAAGGAGACTCGCCGCAGGTCGTATCCTAGGCCCTGGCCGATGGCCTTGACGTAGGCCTCCTTCAGCCCCCAGTGGATGTAGAACCGCCGCAATTTTTCCACGTCGTCGGCCGGACTGCGGCAACAAGAAGGAAAAGGAAAAATGGAAGACCTTACAAGTGTATTCTTGCAGTCAGTAGTGCGGTACGGAGCGTTGATACTTCTATGTGTGGAAGTTGGCGGCGCGGAAACTGTTCTCCCTGGGACGCTCCAATGCAAGATAGAGAGAGCTAAATAGAGACAAAGACTGACGACAAGGTACAAATGAAGGGCGCGGAGGAGCACGACGACAATGTTTGAGATAACCCCGCAAAAATTCTTCCTAGACGAGCTACCACGACTCCGTACAACAACACTAATGGGGTTCACGTCCACCCCATCCCACTCACCTTTTGATGGTTGTCCACTCATCGTCCGTGAAGTGGCCTGTGAAGTACTGCAGGTAATCTTCCGCGGGACCTTGCTCGTTTGCTCGCCGGTTCGTGTCCACGACGTCCACCCCGCACTGTACAATTTCAAGGGGTGCGCAAGGCGAAAAGGAGACAAGATGGAACCTGAGCGGGTGACGGCACGGACAAGGCAGAAAAAAAAACGGCGGAATAACTTGTGTTGTTTCCAGCGAACATATGCGCATCGGGTTTGGAGGTTATCGTTATCGCTGTCGTTGTTGTTGCAACTTCTTGTTTTCATTGACAACGCTGTTATTGGTACTAAAACGTCAAAACATCATGTTGTGTTGTTGGTGCTGAAATTGTTGCAGATGCAGAGAATCGCGTTTATTTTGTACACCGGCCCCGGTGGTCGTGAGTGAACAACTTATGATTTACAATCGTGCGTTGGAAAGCGATAAATTCGTGGGCATACGCAACCATATAGAAAGGGACTGCTGAACCCTTCCCTACTAAAAAATCTATGGCAAGCCAGGGGTTCCTGTGTGACTGAACCCGGCTGAAATGTCAAAAATGTACCGAAAGGAGTCAGATCGACCTCTGAATCAACTAAGAACAATACCACCACATCGGAGGTCACCGCCACAATATTCTATGATCTCTAGCAACAAGGGGAAAACAGGTGTGAGGGTGACTCACACAGCAGTGTCATGGTGTACACGAGTACGGCACACAACGAGTACAAAAGTACTCTAGCAACCCTCGATATTCGTGGCACAGCCAAATACCCGCGCTTGTGCAACGCGCTCTTCCACCACAGCGCAGCAAACATCTCGGCAAACAACAAAAACACCCAGCCCCCGTTGATTCTCGTGTGCCCGACCCCCCCCCCCCCCGCCCTTACCAGACACGCGGGTTCCGAAGCGACAGCGACGTACTTCCCGTGGTGAGAGACGTTGAAATTCCAGTTCTTGAGCAGAGGCGACACGGAGCCATCGTCGATAGCCTTCACCACGCCGGCGAAGAAGGGCTTGCTCTTTTTTTTTGTTTCGAGCGCGACAGACGGTGTGCGGACGAGGCGACGAGGGACGTTTCAACGTGAGGCGACGTGGGTGCGAACAATTGTGGAAACTCAAGAAGGCGCGGAATGCTACGGTGGTGCACGGTGCATCAAACTGATCAAGCATTTTCGTTTGCCGAAAGAATGACGTGAGGGGATAAGGAAGCAGGCGGTATGACACGTTCCACGAAACGCGCCACAACGCACATACCGAATGATCCAACCGTGTGTGAAAATATGCACCACGCAGTCGATTTATTTCAGGCCAACAAGCAACAAAGAGCAACCGAAAACAAGAGGGACGAAGCCTGTTTCGAGCTTGGAGAAGTGCTCTCTCCCCAAATCACTACAACTGGCGGCGCAACATCATCACCGCCGACACAAAAATGGCCCGCACGTTCGGCGTCGCTTGTACTGCTGGTGCTGGTGCTGCCGCTGTCGCCGGCACGGGCGACTAGAACACGACTGGTCTCCACACCCACTGATGAAACGCTACAAGCGGGTCACCCTTCACTCATGCCGCAGCGAATATTGTGGTTGACATCTCGTCGTGTATAGATAACTTCTCCAAGACCGTAAGCTCATCCCACTCGTTCCTGATGCATTTTCGCGTTTGTCCCACCTCAGCTGTACGCCGGATGTCGATTTCGTCAAACTCCAGGCCAAAAACCTACGAGTGGAGATTAAGAGAGTGCGAAAAGAAGACAGGAGAAAAGAGACATGCACATGAAACATGCGGTAGGCAGAGATAGATACATACCAGATAATTATCCTGGGTAGATAGGTGAACTGAAACAGAGAGAACAACCGAGACTGAAGACAGAGGCCAAGAAAGAGGCAGGACTACAGGAACAGGAACGAGCACGGCATCTCGAGGGCGGTGTGTGGTGCTGCAGCATGCTAAGCAATAACCGAAGCCGAGTACAGAACTATCAGCCGTCATGTCATCATGGTGACCACTGCTCTTGCTGTATTTCTACTTGTTGCTGCTGTATGAACAAACCCTTCACACCAAGGCAGTGAACCAGAAAGGAGAAGTGCGATTTCACGTTGCATGTATTGTGAAGATGGCACGATCCATCCCAGAGGGCATACGTAGGCCTTCACTACCTCGCGTATCTTAAGTTCACTTGCTTTGCGTGGAGATAAGACGTCGTTTTCTTTTTACCTTCGAAACCAACGCTCGCTGCAGCAGGCGGCTCCCCAGCGCAAGCTTCCGGTCGTTCTCCCTCAAGAATGCTCTCACGCGCGCGCTCTCGGCGTTTGGTAGGAGACCGAGAAGCCCGTCCCACTACAAGGCGTTGTTTTTGTTGTTCGGAGAAGAGACGACGTGAGGAGGAAGCGCGTGCGGTTGGGTGACATGGAACAAGGAGAACCCGAAGGAGCTAACGCGATGTTGGAGGGGGGAAACATGCCAGGTTCGAGAATGGAGACCACGACGACGACTGCTGTAACATCAACGCGGGCTGTGCGAAACGAATCGTTATAAAAAACAAAAAACGATACTCTAGGACAAAATCACCTGGTTTTTGCACCTGTCAAGAAGACCAGCAGTGCGCACAGCGCTGAACACAGAACAAAGCACAGAAACAATCGAGTATGCATACAGCGAAAAACAGCAGCGAAGCACAAAACGGCGAAGTAGCAGGGTCCCATCGAGCTCGCTTCGAGGTTTGTGCGCTTAGCACAAGGAGAGTGCAGGCCCGATGCGGGTTGGGTTTGGTTGGATTAGATTGGGTCGAGAAACTCGTGGTGGGTGATACATCCGTGAATTTGATTTGGCCCTTGGTGGGTCTTAGACACAGCAATGAGTCGCGGTCTATCTGATCTGCTACCACCCCCTGTACCTGGTCGGCAGAAAGGCCCCACTCGCTGACGTCAAGGCACCACCTCTGAACGCCCGACAGCAAAACGCTTCGTGCGGCCCGGGATTCCGGGCCGCCGTTGCCGCCTTCCTCCTCCTCGTCGTTATCCACATTTCCACTCGAGAAAGAAGCACCTCCAGCTCCTCGTCCTCCTGCTCGGCTTGCGGCACGTGACGCCGCCGCTACCGGTTTGCTGCGGCCGCCGCTGTCGCCGCCAACGCCCACTGCATCGGCCGCGAAGAGGCATGTGCCCATCGCCGACGATGCGCCCGCCTGTCTACCGGGTGACCGACGTGGTGTTCGCGTGTGTTTGCGTCTGGATGTGGAAGATACTCCTTAAATTTACTGCCCAAATGGATTCAACAACTGTTCGCAACGTTGGCACATATGGGAGGTCCGCGGGACAGCTTTGGGACTATACTGGGTCCGAACCTGCTGTTTTATGCGGAGGAGAGCAGATGTGTGCGTGTGTGTGTGTGCGCGTGTTTCATGTAAGCATCAACCCCACTAACCGGCTGACCAATGAACTGGAAAACACAAAATGCTTCTGTAGACCACGATCTGGGACCCTGTGACCGAGCGTCATGGGGAAGGGTATGCTAATCTCCGGAATAAGACAAAAACAATTTTTGTCTCTAGCGATAACAGAGTGTGTGGATTGTGTGTGTATTTCATACCAGCATCGACCGTTTTTTTGTGTGTGCGCGCGTGTGTTTCAGTCATGGGTTTCATCGACGCCTCCGCAATACGAAAAAAAGGTGCATCGTGCTACCTGAGCACCACCAGGTAGAGCTGCTGCGTGACTGCAGCAGTCAATGCGGGAAGCATTGACACGTACGGCACGCGAAGGGTCGCGGGCGGTGACATCCGTACGGCCCGACAACAACCAAGAGAGCGGCGGAATTTTCGCACGGCGAAGGCGGGGCCTACAACAGGTTGTCCACCATTGTGGCGAGGGCGTGGATGCCTTAGATTCACATCCGCCCGCACGCGCTCGGGCGTTCACGTGGTATACCGTCTTCGAGCCGATTCCTGGGTCTCTGGCTTTATAGCGAGGGAGGGGACACCGAGAAAAATGTGAGCTCACCTCAGATTGTAGCTCTTAACCCGCATCTAGTACCCCCGTCGCCACCCGCGAGGACATTGACGCCGCACGCTACTGCATTGTCTACGTCTTGGCTGATGTGCTCGCTACCCAACTCCTGTAGGTCTACGCCTTCTTCCCTGCCCTGATGGGCACGTCGCTCTAGACAGCATCTCGCACACCTTCCCGCGTGAACATAGCTAGCATGTTAGACTTGAAAATCAATAACCTCGCTTGCTAGTCTTCCCCTTGCTTTTCTATCCCGTCCCACGGTGCTAGTCTTTTACTTCCCGTCATTCTCAGCGTGCCTGCGCGATCATGCAGTGGCATGCGGCGTCAACGGCCTCGCGGGTGGCGACGGGGGTACGGGATGCGGGCCAAGAGCGACACCCTGAAGTAGCAGTCAAGCTACTGAAGCACTGGAGTTATGGATCGAGAAAACCGATTCAGGTACACCACGGTTGTCCACACTATATCAAAGCCGGAGCCCAAAACATTGGTTGCTCGTTCCGGTTCATCCCAATTGCATACAGAATGCGCCAGCACTTAAGAACCTCTAGTTTCGGCCGAGGCTCTAAGTTCCTGAAGAGGGTCTTGCTGCGAATGGTCGCTGTATAGTTTTTTTTGTAGGGGTTTCTAACCGAGCTCGCAAATGGTGCTCGAGCTCTTAAAGTTTTGACTTTTTTGAACTGCTCGATTTCTTAACTCGTGGGTTATTGCAAGTGCGGGCGCGTTCTGTTCAGCAGCACACCTGTTTTACCTCGTTCTTGTTGTGTCCTCTTTTTGAGCGGCATGGCCTGCAAGCCGGAACCTCTTGCCGGGAATCAATATCATTTCGCAGGTTTTACCTACCTTCCTTGGGTCTGACCGCTCTAGCTAAAAGCTCTCGTCCTGGTCACACACTGCTATCACCCCCCCCCGGGTTTTCGTAGCTTGGCAACGACTTGTAAAACAAGCCAATTAATTCACTTCGTGAACTCGGCAACCAGGTTACCGGTTTTCTTTTACTTCTGTTTTTTTTTTGGCGGTAACCATGACACCCCAGCAGCACACAACACTTGCTCCTTCCCCCTCGGCCTGCTCCCTGGCAGGGGCCGAAATCGACCTAGTGAGTCCCTCGCGGGCGAACCAGGCCACAACAGATAGTAGGCGGGTGGTGTCCCAAGGTGCAACTCACCGCCGCGCTGGCTCAGCGTGGCGGTGAGGATGCACAGACGGTGGTAGTGGCGAGAAGAGTGCATGGACACTCTTCCTACGGCAGTAATGCAAAGCGGCAAATTGCACCTGGCAACCACCGTCGCGGAAAGCGTGGCCGACGAAGCTGGAGGAGTAGAGAGATTCGTAAACACCGCGTCAGTAAGCACCGCTCGTGGGAGAAGGGAGACAACCGCGGGCACCGCGGGGAGGGAGTGCTGCACCCTCCTCGTCAAAACACCACAGGCAAGAACCGAGCTCTGCAGAGATGAATTGAAGCGAGGAAATTCGCCGCTCGGAAAATACGGAAGAAAGCACACCCGCAATGCGAGGTGGACCGAGAGAGACACGAGACCGCAGCGGTCGTCAAGGCGGCTGCGATGAAGAAGGCACGAGAGGGCGACCTATCGTTCGGCACGTTCAACGTACGCACGCTCGCCTACAGCGGTAGGAACCCCATCGGTCACAACGTGATGACGGTCATGCAGATTTGTTCCGCGACCGGCTGTGATGTGATAGGACTTCAGGAGACCCGACGAG